AAAACTGTGCCCATGAATCCCTCTTGTGCCCTGCTCCCACGTCCATCCCGAGACAACACAGCAACGTCAAGGCACTGTGAGGGTCACCCTGGGTCTGGCCCAGAGTCAGCTCCCTGGGATCCTGAGACTGGGGTCGAGTCTGAGCACCAGGCTGAGCTCACTCTTGCTCAGGGCAGATTCATCTCAGCATGTCACTATTTTAATTTAAGCTGAATGACAAGTGACAAGGGTTGGATTATCTATACGTGATCTGCAGAACAGGCTCCTCTTTAATGCTTATTTATTTAACTTTAAGCTTACATCTTAAAGACTCATAAGAGGTCAACTGGACAAAGATCTACTTCTCTTTGATGACTCATTTCCCCAGATGTGATGTATAGGCACTGGTGTCATCTGGTCACCTGTGTCAGGCATGGTGGGTTTGTTCGAAAATTATAGAACAGTGCAGAACTCACCCGGCAAAGCCATGCCTATGGAGCTCAGTTCTGTGGATTCCGGCAAGACTGATGTCTAACATTTCATGTCCTGCGTAAGCTCTGTCTTTATTGTATTCCTATGCTTTTTGGACTAAGAGAAAAGGAGGGTGAGCATGTTCTTGGGGGAAGATTAGCCTCTTTGAGCCTGGCACGTGACATGTTTAGGTGGCTGTCTTCATGCAGCCGTTTTGCCCCAGGGATACTGTGACAGGTTAGAAAGTATCTCATTGACTAACTTTTAGGATCTCTAAACTCTGAAGTGGTGTGTGAACCCAGGTTGTCTCCTCTCAACAGACGTTACCCTGATGTGTGCTGATGAGAATGTGGCACCTAGGGTGGGTTGCGATGAGTGAGGGATGGGTGATTCCTGGCATGTCAACTGCACAGGGCCAAAAGTAAATTTTACACTCACTCGCTCATCTTAGACCATTAATCATTCTCAGCAATTTCTAAGACCCGAGGAGCCCTTTGGATGAGCAGCATCTCACGTACTTGGATTTCGCCTGCAAAGTTAGAATGGTCATAATCATACTTCCTTCTTGGGAGCAAGCACGTGTTATCCATAAAATCCCATAAAATCTTAGTGGTAGACACTGCTACAATCCCTCCAGTGCCCTAATTCTTCCCGGAACGGTTCTGAAATTGAACAGTTTGTTGATATGTGGAAGCCCTGATTCTAATGAAGTGTGTCAAACTGGATCAGCTTTCTTTCAGAAAATGATTTCTTCCATCCAAATATTCGTTACTCTTGGAAAAACAGACACTACTCAGAGCTCAGAAAGCCTTTTTGTTCTTAAAGATTTTGTGTTACAGAGTGAAGAACTGGGTTGTGATCAAGTATGTGGTAAGCTCTGTGGTATGGCTGAGATGGAATCATCTAGCTTGAGGGTAGAGCGATAGAAAAAAGCCAAATCTGTATTTGGTTTTGTTCCAACCAAAAGGCCCTTGTTCTAATTTATCTGTTAAATATTCATCGAGTGTCTGCTACCTGCCTCATGTAATGGTCTGTGCTAGAATTAAATAAGACTCAGACCATGCTTTGCAGAACCTGCTCATATGCAAAGGTATTGCTGGGCTGAGAGAGTCATCATATAAAGAAAATCATGGAAAATTGCATAAGAGAGGGAGGGAGAGGTGGGGAGATCCACAGATGTGGAACATATTCTGAATGAGGACATGGGCAGTGTCTTCGTAAAGGGACATCCAGAGGTGAACAATGAGGATAAGGCAGCTTTGTGGACAGATGTTGCAGCCAGAGAGAATATTCTAAGGCTGCCTCTGTGGAAAGGTGATGGGGGCATGTTCAGGAGGTGATGGGTGGTCTGCATCGATCTTAGGTGACATCCGGCCACTGGAGACCCTGGAAGAGAACCTAGAAGGACAAGCTGGCACCTTGGGTGACATATGTCTGGTCTGCCCAGGACAGCCTTGTTTCCACCTGTTACCCTGACACCTCTATTAATCATCATCACTAAGGCTTCCTTTCTCTCAACAGCTCCTGGTTCAGACAGACATTGAATTATACGGTGGACGGCATTTCTTGGTTACTTATGGTAATACAGCAATTTTCTTCCATTCTAAAACCCCTATTTTCATAATAACTCCTGATTTACTATCACATGAATTTGTCTTGTCATTTCACGTTAGTAGGACAGAGTAAGAAATTTTAGGTGATACGATTTGAAATTCCTAAAGAAGCATCAGAATCCGAAAATAACTCCTGCAGAAATGCCTAAAATTGGATAATAGTAATACCTATAATGATAGCCAACATGTACAGATAATTAGACTCACACCAGGCCCTATACTGGTTTTGCCAGGTTACTTAAATTATTTAATCTTGGCAACAACCCAGGAAGTAGGGCTTGTTTGATGTTATCCCCGTATGACTGACACTCACAGGGGCTAACTCATTTTCCAAAGCAGTAGAGCTAGTGAATATGCGCTAATGAGCTCTACTAATCTGAACCTAGGATCTTCTCCAGAGCCTACGCCTTTAGCAGCTGAGAAAAATCACACTATTGCTGGGAAAGTGACGGTGGGATGTGTTGATCACGATGGTTTTGAAAATGGCGAAGCCTCTCGATTTACCAAGGACTTTTCTGTATACCCTTGTTTGCTTCAAACAGAAACCCTGGGCTACGGGTGGTGAACATTGTTCTTTCTGGATTCTCAGGGAACTTAAATGCTTTTTTGTTTTTTGGCAATTATTTCAGGGTTTGCAAAGTAACTAAATAACCAGAAATATTAGGAAGTTTCTCTATGTAAAAATCACGGCCAACTGGTTGACCTTGGCCTGACCTGGCTCTCTCTCCTCCTGCCTTTTCTGTGCTGATCACCTGGCGTTTCCACACCCACCTGGGGCAGCGACCTTCAGCCCTGCTCTGACATTCACACTGGGTTCTCATCATCAGCTTCCAATACTTTATACTTTATGGGTAATGGAGGAAGTGATTCAGTTTGAAGGCCTCTATAGTTTCTTTATGTTCATCTGAACTGAATATTTGCCGTGAAAATCTCTGTTCTCCTGCTTCATTTCCTCACTTTGCTGAGACGTCAGTGCCTGTGTGGGTTATAGAGTTGTCTTCACTATTTTCATTTGTAACGTAGATTTTAAAATTCTTTAATACTCTTCACTTTTATATAGTACCACGTTGTGCTTATTTTAGTGAGAATTTCCTTGTCAAACTTATATCACAAAGAAATGCTTTGCGGCCTCCTTCACATGAGTAGACTTCAGTGGCAAGCCAGCCATTGCACATAGAACTTCCAGCTTCCATGCCCAGACCGAGAGGAGTTATCCTTATTTAAAAGTTCAATATAAAATGTGGAGTCGTTTCCTTTACCTGTTATCCATAACCATTTTATTGTCCCCTGTTTCCATGGCCCAATGCTTGGGTAGTCAGTGCATCTGAGTTATATACTTTTTAACAGACTTTTTCTTTTCTTAAAAAAAGAAGTTTTAGGTTCACAGTAAAATTGAACACAAGGCAGAGGGATTTCTCCCTGCCGATGCCAGAACGTATGTGTGTTACGCTTGATGGGCCGGCGCTGACAGCATTGTCACCAGGGCCCATGTCTATGGTGGGGCTGGTATCTCCTGTGCCACATCTGTGGGTTTGGATGAACATATAATGACATGTGTTCATCACAGTAGTGCCACTGACCTAAAAATCCTCTGTGCTCTGCCCACCCATCCCTCCCTTTCCCCCACCCCCTGGCAAGCACCGATTCTAATTGTCACTATATGTGTGCCTTTTTCAAAGTGTCTTATAATTAGAATCAGACAGCATACAGCCTTTCGAAACCATCTTTTTTCACTTAGTAAAAGAAGGGCATTTAAGAACCCTCCATGACCTTTCAGGGTTGATGGCTCATTTCTTTTTGGTGCTGTATAATATTCCACTTTCTGGATATACCACTGTTTATTTGTCCCTTCACTTACTCTGGGACATCCTGGTGGCTTCTCCTAAGATTTGGAAATTATGAATAAGGCTGCTTTAAACATCTGTGTGCAGGACGCCATTTGTGCATGGACTCATGCCTATGATGTGTTTTAATAGGCCCTGAATGAACTTCTGGAATTTATTACGATCACCATAGGGGATGGGACTGATAGAGTAGCGGGGAGGGCATGAGGGGGCCTTCTGCCTCCTTTAACTCTCGCCTTTCACACAATAAGAACAATCTTTATTGGACTTCGTTTCACAGTTGCCAACATTCTCAGAGCAATCGATGTGATTTTGAGGCACAATTATATTTTATTCCATAAGCAATATTTGGTATATGAATTCTTCTAGCTTCTAAGAAATGTATGTAGTTTAAACCAATTTAAAGGGTAAATTTACAGAAAAAAACTTGGCCCGTCACAAGTGCGCCCAGGGCACAGTTATCCAAGTGCTTCTTAGGCCTCTGGCTTGTTCCTCTTCTAAGGGCCGCAGCTTCCCCTTGGTGTTCCTGGGAGCAGGTAGGCAGTGGGCGGCCCTCCACAGTCCTCCAATCTCTTGTGTGCTTCTACTCCAGCAGGCAGTTTCTGGAGAGGAACTGAGCAGTAACAAGAGGGATGCTCGTGGTGTGACCTTGCAGGGGCCAGCTCTGAATCTGACTATCTATAGAATTTAATTGATTTAAGCTTCTTATTGAAAGGAACAGGCACAAATATTTTGAAATCTCTTAAATTCACTTTCCTTACTCAGTTCACAGAGCAAACTTTAACATATAACTCCGATTCTCCAGCAATGGTTTCAAATGCAAGATGCCCAAGGAGGTCATGCCGTTGTTAGCGTTTCTTTCCATCACACTTCAAAACTTGTCTCTTTGGGGTCTGCTCCCTTCAGGCTTCCCTCGGAAATGAGCCCTTTCGCTTGAGATTTCCAGCTTTAAAACCTCTGACCCTAGCCAGAGAATCCACCATGCTTTTCAAGGTGTTTGTGCATTGACACTCAGATGTGAGGACATGTTCTTTGGACTATAGGAATAAAAAAAACTCTCAAGCACTTCTAAAAATTATTATTATTATTTTTTTAAAATATAGAACTCTTCCCTAATTTGGGTGTCATCCTTGTTCAGGGGCCATGCTAATGTTTTCTGTACTGTTCCAGTTACTTTTTAAAATTAAATCATTTATTGAGGAATGATTTATATGCAGTAAAATTCACTCTTTTGTCAGTTTTTACAGATGCGGACAGTCTCATGACTGCAATTAAGACACTGAATAGTTCCGTTACCCCCCAGGTTCTTGTCATGCCAACTGATCATCAACGCCTCCACCAACACACATGACACCCGTGACAGTCTCTCTCCCTGTCCTAGAGCTTTGTCTTTTACGCCATGCAACTTGAATGTCACACAAACTGAGTTATGTAGTGTGTAGTATTTCCTGTCTGGTTTTTCTGCTCAGCATAACGCATTTGTGATTTACCTGTGTGGTCACAGGTATCAGTGCTTCATATCTACACCTGTAAGTATCTGGGTGGAGTTCCAGGTGTTGAACGTTCCACAGTTCATTCCCCAGGTGAAGGTCATCTGAATCATTCCAGTTCTGGTGATAATGAGCTAAGCCACTGCAGACGTTCACATGCAAGGTTTGTTGTGAATGTTAGTTTCCATGTCACTTAGGCAAATGCCTAGACACGGGATTGTTGGGTCATATGCACATTTAATGTAATTACAAGGAGTTGTCAAACTATTTTCCAAAGTGACCATAAGATTTGGCATTTCAACTAGCTATGTACTAGAGTTCCAACTGCTTCACATCCTGGGGAGTCTTTGGTAATAGTTAAAAACAAACAAACCAACAAAAAAATCTTCATTGCTGTCAAATTGTACTTCATCTAAAAAGTGTGTACTGGTATCGCATTGTGGTTTTAATTTGATTTCTCTAATGATGAATGATAGAAATATTTTTTAAGTTTATTTATTTATTTATTTTCAGATTAACATGAAGGTACAGATGTTTAAGTACCTTGTTTTCATTTCTAAGGTAAAGTTCAAGTTGTAGTTGAGACCTTCACCCAGGGGGCGTGCTGGACACCCTCTCCCCTTTTTTTAATGTGTTTTTTTCCCCATCCTTATATTATCTTTGGTAAAATGTCTATACGCATCTTTTTCCTATTTTTATTGGGGTTATTTTGTTTATTTTGATATTCATATCTTGTTAGTCATATCTTCTCTTTGAAAATTATTTATCAAGCAGATTCTTTGAAAGTCTTTTCTCCCAGGGTGTAGCTTGCTTTTTAAGAATGTTTAATTAACAGGGTCCTCTAAAGAGAAAAAGATTTTACTTTTGACGCAGAAGAATTTATTGATCTTTTTCTTTTATTATTCATGCTTTTGTTGTTGTCTAAGAAATTTTTGCCTAAATTAAGGTCACAGATATTTTCTCCTATGTTTCCCAGCAGGAATTTTATAGTTTTAGGTTAAGTTTCGAGTTAGTGTTTGGAGTGGGGCAAGCTCATTAAAGTGGGCTTTAATTATTTATTTGCACATGGATGTCCAATTGTCCCAACACTATGTGTTGCAAAGACTATTCTTTTCCTCACTGAGTTACTTTTGCAACTTTGTTGATGATCATTTGATCATTTATGTGTGGGTGTATCTTTAGACTCTCTATTCTGCTTCCTTGATCCATCCATAAAGCCCTCCTTTCTTCAGCACCCCACTGCTGTAATTATGGTAATTTTATAAGAAGTCTTGAAAGAAGGTCATGTGAGTTTTCTTTGATTTTTTTCTGCCTCTAATGTCTTGTGGTTTTCAGCGTAGAAATCTTGCAAATCTATTATATGTAAAGCTATGTATTTTTTACTCAGTGCTATGATAAATGGCAGGCCCTTAGGTTAATCAATTTGTTTCATCAGTTTCTATGCTTATCATTGTTTCTGGAACGCTTTCCTTTCATCCCAGGTTGACTTTTCTGCTTTAATGTCCCATCTCTCTTTCTCTGTCTTTGGAAATGTAAGTAGGATCACGTTGGGCACAGAATTTTCTCCTTGGAAGAAGCTTCATTTTTACTGCTGCAGCCTTTGAAGTCATGTGATCATTTACTTACGTAGATAAGTTTTAGTTATTAATAAAGCCAGTGGTCATCTTTGTGCATATGGCTTTTAAATAAAGAAATATCATATTTTTGTTTAAAATTCACTGTTGCTTATTGAAAAACTTTTGATGGCAAATTAAAGAGAAAGCTCATCATTAATATATTTAGTCATAAGTATGTAGCATATTAAGAATTCAAAAATGGTAAACTATTTAGAACATATGTTGAAATTAGTGAAATATAAATTATCTATACATGTCTTCAGTTTTACTATTTCTAGTCCTATTGGCTCAGGTTTTCATTTGACTTTATACCTGGGCTACAGATGGTCTATGGAAACCTGCAGTTTATCTAGCTCCTCTCCTTTGGATGAACATCATGATATTTAATTTGTTGTCATTACAATCATTGCTCCAGCAGCACCTTTGTGCATGTTCTGATGTATAGGTGTGAGGATGTCTATTCAGTATTTTTTTTAATATGACCTATAGTTTGAAACTTTCTGTGTCATTTCATTAGGGGTTTCTTGTAAACAGCATATGGCTATATTTTGTAAGCCAACCTCATCATCTCTCTGTCTCAAGAGGCAATTTCTACCTCATTACATGCTGTAGCAGGTATACCTGCTATCACTCTCCATCCCCTCTCTGCCCACCTGAGTTCTCCTAACCTGAGGTGCTGACATCTTTACCTCCATGATGTAGCAACCCCTGTTTGTTCAGGGGTGCTACAGAAACTTGCTCTTCTATAGACAGGCTCAATCCTAAAATCGAGGGAACCATAGCCATGGGAAGGCAGCCATGGTGGTCAGGAGTCAGCGTGTCAGTGGCTCCTCTGTCCAGTGGAAGACTGTAGCTTCTTTCTCACCATTTCAGAGGGTCTCCAGACGTGCCCACCATGCTGACCAGTCCACTGGTGCACCATTAGTAGTTTTTCTCTTTCTCACTATGGTTGTCAGAATCATCACCCAAATACGCCACCTATGCCCAAGTCCTTGTCTCAAGTCTGCTTTGGAGAGCACCACACTGTCCCGTCATGCATATTACCACCTATTTCTGTGCCTTCTGTTTCCCTTGATTTTTAAATATTTTTCCTATGTTTCTGTCTTTTACTGGATTTAGTTTTCTTTGGTTCATTTGTTCCTCTCGTTTGGGAACTATACATAACTTTTTCTGTTCCTTTCATGGTTTCTTAATCTTTTTAAGATATGTACATGAATAAAAAAATTTCTAACACAGTCTAAATTTATTCTTTTTTTGTTTTTCTTTCCTCAAAAAGAAAATGACTTTGGTCTGCTTTAGCTTTCTTTCCCATTTTCTGATTTATCTCTCTCCATGTGTCCTGTGTCACTATCATCAGGATTTTCTTATTCTAGCATTTGAGGTGCTCAGTAGTCACTTGAGTCCATCAACTTATTTCACCAATGTCTATGGTCATCATTTTTTCCTTGAATACCATGAATTCATCCTAAGTTTATTTTTCTACTTTTAAAATATATACAATAATAGGTCTAGTCTAGGAGATGATATCAAACTTTCTTATTTTTGTATTTTAAGAATGTCTTAACCTTCCTTACCCTTTAGAGGAAAAACTTTTTACCCAATCTCATTTTCCCCTAAATTCTTAAAAGATATTATTGCCTTCTGCTGTCCCATTGTCAATTGTGGCCATTGATGAAATGTTAGCTTTAAAACTAACTGCTGGCTTCCTTGTAAGTAATCAGTATTTTCAGTCTGGCAGCTTTTATTATACAAATTTTTCATATCTGTGATGTTCTATATTTGCATAATGAAGTGTGTAGAGATTCTCCATGTCTTTTTCAAACTTTAAACTTTTTATGTCTGTGTGAGGGAGGGTGATTGGTGGGATCACGCCTATGGTTCATCCTACAAGGGTACATGCGAATCTCTCTAAATGTAGAATATAAATGTCCTAACACAATAACTAAGAAAAAGACATGAAGGCTATGCTAACCAGTTGGATGATAGTATTAATGTGCACAGCTATGATTTAATAAAAAATTTTTTCTAATTCTTTAATGTTAAAAATACATCTTCTGTTCATTCTTCTTACTGAGCATTTTTCATGTCTCAGAATTTTAATTGACTCTTTTTCATAGCTGTTACCCTTTGTTTTTCTTTCAGAATGTTTATTTCTTTTTTCATGGATGCCGTTTCTTACTTTAATCTCTGTATATCAAAAATATACTTATTTTAAAGCTACTTCTCACGTTTTGAAATTATTCTCATTTCATCTGGGGCCATTTCATTTCCCGGTGGTTGTTTTTATTGGGCGTCATTCTCAGCATCAGTGTTTCCCAGTTGATTTGCAGGCTCATCTCTCCACTTCTACTGCCGTCGCCCCGCCCCTACCCAGCCTGTCCTGCGTGGTCACTTTGGCAGCCTCTACCTTGTACCCAGAGCCCTTAGTTCAGAACTAAGTGTCGTCCTGCTCTTGGTCTTGATATTCAAAGATATCTTGAATATCTTTGACGTCATCACAAAACAGCCTAAGGTTGCCAAGGCTTGGGTTCAACTTAGAAGCCTGGGTCATCTTCCTCTTGCCTTCCTAGATGAGCAGCTCTTGCATCAACCATAGCTCGCTTATTCCTATTTTAATCTTTCCTGTGTGGGAAATAGGATCTGATCCAAGTGAGCTTGAAAGGTGAGTTGGTCTTTGATTCCTCACATTTACCTGTCTGCTTCCAGAAACAGAGAACCGCAGGTGCAGAGCCAGCCTCAATTTCCTGTTTGTGTTTTTTTCCCTTTTCTGCTCCACAAAGATGTTTGCCCTACTGTCCTCATGTATATACCCCTAATCTTTTCAATTACATGTTCTCTGTCATTCCTACATATTTGGTGACCATGGAACAGGGGGAGGAGATTTAAGGTATAAATTTGTCTCATCATCTGGGCCAGACGTTAATTTTTTCCTTTTGCAAAGAGTTTAAATGTAAATTGAAGCACTACTCAGATGGTCAGAGATTTCAAGTGAGATAAATCAAAATTAATGAAAGAATACAGCATCTCAGGGTAATCCTCAATTTCTGATTTTAGGATGGTGTTTTGAAGGCAGCAGATTTTTTTCATGATC